ATCCCCCAGAGGCAGAGGCGCTCGTGGAGGTTCTGCTGACGAACCCTGCGGTTCGGCCTTCGAACCGTCAGAATGGCGTGTTCGGCCAGTGCCCACTGCGGACATTGGACGGGCTCACCACGAAGATTCTACTGAAGAATCGTGAGTTTCAGGCTTTCTCTCTGTGGCTTCTCGGATTCAAAGCCGGAGGCACATGCGGGCCTCGCAAGATCTTACACCAACGAAAATGAGATCTCGGTATGGTAAGTTTGATCCCATCGTGGTAGCAACGTGAGCTGACATGAGTGAGTAGATTACGCCTCCCAGCTCAGTTACTGACTGGTATGCCACGGTCCAGTTATCTGTTCAACCGTCTGCTCCTTGGCCTTGGGATGGAGCTCAGGCTCTGTGGACGGCCTTCGGCATCTTCAATTCTTCATGCCGTTTGTCTTCGATCCGGGTCTCGCAGGCGCAGAAGATAATGATTGTGAACCCTTTTCTGAAGCCGGAGGTCAATTGTTCAAGCCGTTCAACAAAATTCGAACGGACGGAGACAAAGTTATCTGCGCGGGTACTTCATAGCGTGGGTATTGTGCGGGTCGACATGTTCGGACATCAACGTCCATGGGGTGGTGAACGCAGGCCCAACTCGGAGTGACTTGTTGGAATGTCTTGGAGTCTTGATAGAGTATCATCGCATGTCCTTGCAGTGACGATAATGGCATGCTCGATCATCCAAGCCCCATGGACTTGCAAACGCAGGTCCAACTCGGAGGGGCTTGTTGGAATGTCCTGGAGCCATCATAGAGTATCACCGCATGTCCTTGAAGTGACGACAACGACATGCTACGCGGCAGATTATTTCTTCACGTGGACGCACGGGTCGACATGCTGATCATCCAAGTCCAATCGACACCTGCGTGCACAATTTACATTCAGAGGAGCATGTTGGAACGTCCTCGGGGCGATCATTGGGTACCCTCACATTTGTGGTGGTAATGTTCCAACACCACAGCATTAGTAGAGATTCTCAGGGCCAACTTGGGCCTTTTCTCCTCTGGGTCCCGGAAACCAAGCAGCGACTGTCCCCGTGACGACAGCGAACGGTATCCACCGGTGCTACACACAATCAGCAAGTATTACTTGGCCCATCGCCATACTACGTTCCGGGCCTGATGGAAGATACGGCCCCCCAAAGTCGAACGAAGAAGTCAAGGAGAAAGAGAAGAAAGAGGAGGGGGACGACGACGAGGAAGAAGAGAAGGCGAAAGTTAAAGAAGTGGAAGACGAATTTACCGAGATTTTCAAAATGGCACTACGCATTACTGCGTCAAGGTCATCAAGGAGGCAGATTGCACGACAAACTGGGAATTATCCTTTGCAGACGACATCCAGCGTCAAGCACAGCCTGCGCCGAAATCGAGTTGCAATACCGCAACTCACGAATCCCTTGGGAGTTCATTCTCAAGGATTGCTGCCTTGCCTCTCGTCGTTGAAAGCTCCCGTTCCTACCTGAGGAGGGTCAGGCACTCCTGAGCCTAAGGCGCCATCATGAATCGACAGTGTGGACGACAAAGATATGCCCTGCGGCTGTTCGTTCTCATATTCGGCCGCCTTCTGCTTATACAAGTAGCTGTGTTAGCTTGCCTTGCCTCCAAATATCTCGTTCTATGCATGGCGGCGTTGCTATATGTTGCAGGCATGAAGACGTTATTGGCCATGGGCCCTACTTCTATGCATGTGGACTTGGTTACAACTTCGCTTCCCTGTCTCTTCTTCCTCCCCGCATGGCGGCGCTGCCTAGGGGGTTTGGACACTTGAGGACCTTATTGACCCAATATTGGGTGTGCCTTTTGCTTTTATGCCGGACGCTGTGGTTCGCTTCCTTCTTCCTTCTCCGCATCAGCGCTGCCTGTGCTGGTCGAACACCGCATAAACAACTTTTCTTCAGGAACGGGTTGAACTTCCTTAGGAAGCCGGTCATGCTAAGCTATATGCTAAGGTGGATTGCTTAGGTACGACTGAACATGCACTATGTGATTGGATTGTTCCACAGCATTCAAGATAGATTGATACGGCCTGTACTTCAATTGACTAGATGTCTTCTACACAGCATTCAAGATAGTTTGATAATCTATACTTCTCTCCTTAGTGCTCTTCTTCCACTGAACTCAAGCACCCGTAGCCCACCCGCGAGAATACCTCCTACCGTGATACCGCTAAAGACAATGACCACAGACAAGAATATAACCTCAAACAGGCCCATGGATACACGACCCATCTGACCCGTCTGATATGCCTCCCTGCCAGTCTTCTTGCCCTCTTGCGGAACATACTGAAACTGGAAGCTTGTACGGGACTTTCTGCGCACAAGGCCTCTGTACAAAATCAACCGGAAGAACTAGACGGTCAGCACCACATCCCAAGTAAACGGGACTGCCACGAACTCACCTTGACAACAAGACCATCAACCCCAGGAACAACCCGCTGCACCCAAGCCATAAACACAACCAGCATACAATGCCCCATGAAAGCAACATAGTGCAACACCCCCGGCCGCCCAAGCCCAAGCTCATCGCAGAGCTCATCATCATTTATCCACCGGCTTCCCGCTTCAATAAAGCCCCTAGTCACATGAAACGGCGCCGGCAAATTCTGCACACACTGCACAAAGTTATACGCCACCACGCGCGAAGTCTCCGTTATCCGGAGCTCATGCAGATAGCAGCTCTCCATCGTCACCTTCGCTTTCTGTGCTGTCTCGAAGAAAGCCGTTGGCGTGCCGAGCAGGTAGCCCAGGTACCGGAAGAGAGCGATATAGTCATCTATCTCCTGGGGCGAAGGCTCGACCCCGAACTTGGACAGCTGGAGCCACATATGATTGCAGCTGAAGGTGGTGATGGAGTGGATGGAGTCGAGGGTGTTGATTGGGATTCCGTGGTGGCTGACGTCGTAGTATTCGGGTTTTCGCTCGCAGAGCTTGAGGATCCGTTGTCGGACGGACGAGTGGAGGAGTCGGACGCGGATTGTTGCGATGTGCCCGTCTCCTCCGGGCTGGATGGGCGCCAGGCTGTGGGTGACTTGCACGAGCCACTGGAAGGTCTCGAGCAGTCGTCCGAGGAGCATACGGGTGGAGAACCCGCCTGTTCGGACGAGGACTTCGACGACTCCTGAGGCGGCCTTAGGACGGTCAGTGCTATGCCCGCTGCAAGGGCATGCTAGGAGATGAAAGAGGACGTACCGAATTCTCCGCCATGAAGCCCTGCAGCGCGAAGCCGACGATATTAGCAATAGCATACCGGTAGAAGAACCTCTGGCCTCGTTCAAGCTGGTCCCAATCTACCCAGTCAGGAACAGTATGGAGCTCATTCCAGAGCTGGGACAGCGTCTCGTCTTCGCTGTGGTGGTCTCGAAGAAGAATGTAGAGGTCGTTGGGGGGCGGAGGAGTGCCTCTCGCTTTGCTTTCTTCGAGCAGAGCCGCACGAACCGCTTGGATTCGCTCCAGGGCCGCTGCTCCAAGGGTATCGTACTCCTGGCGCAATGGCTTGAGTGTTTCCTGGGCGAGGTGGCTATCAGTCCACTTGAAAGAATAGCCCCATTTGCTTATCGTTTCCCCGACACGGGGGGAGGAGTTCGAAGAAGGGGAAGAAGAAGACATACTGCTTGTGCTATATTCTACATTGTTAGGGCTTCAACAGTCCCAGCGACGACGTTAATATAAACCTATTTCAGTGCGTCCCCTTTCCAGCTTCCAGAAAGACATTGAGCTAGGTGACGGCCAGACCACAGCAGAGTAGCCCTCTCCAGTCTTCCATGGCAAGCCATCATGCCGACGTAGCCGACTCGTTGCATACGATTGCGTAGGAGGCCATTGCGTTGATCGAAACAAAGAAATGAAGCCCTCTGTCGTGTCTCAAGTCAAGGTGTTTCCTCCTTTGGAAAGTCAATCCACTAGTGAAGCAGACCAGAGATTGCTGCTGGAATTTGAAATCGGGGTGGGAAGATCTATAACGTGGCCAATTAGATACTCCTGGGTTGATACTGCCCCTATCATGCTTCGTAGCAAGGAATCTAGCTGAGACTCGGTCATTGAGTGAGTCCATGACCGCGCCGGCAGCACGAGGTTGATAAGCGTCAACTGACAGTCTCCATGGCAAGCTCGCCACTCGAGATAGAACCTATTCTCATCCAGTTTCGGTCCATGTCGACGATCTTCGCGACCATTGCCGCGAGGATGAGAGAGATAAAGAAAAGAGACTTCAGCGCGGCTTTAGTGTACCAGTCTGTCGGGATTGCGTCAGTATACTGGTTGAGAGCTCGGAATCTGGGATGTTGGGGTACCTGTCCGCAAGAACATGTTCACATAATCTTTTGCCACGGATGGATGTAGCCATTGAAGCTTGAGCTGACAACCTTTTCGTCTTGGTCTATGATATTGACTTGGATAAGTTCAGGATGCAGGACCCTTTATGACTAAGGGTTCAGGCAATGATCTACGTAGTAATAGCTGCTCAACAGTGGCGCTATACTGAGGCCGTCCTTTCTCTCCACAGTGGAGAACAATATCAAGGCCATCTTCTTTGTCTTTGAATCCACATGTAGGCGCATCTGAAGATGAAGTTTGCATGTTGAGATAGCACGACGTCAATAGTGCGGCTGTGATTGATTGCCGTAGGCCATGAAGCCAAAGAGAGCCGGGCGAACTCTAACACACTAGTTAGTGGCAATGAAAGAAATCGGACCTCACAAGTATCCTCCGGATTTTGCGTCCAATGACAGAAACATTATGCCTTTGGCCCTATCAGACTATATTGACTATGGTTATGGGAAGGTTTGGTATTATTGTTGTTCGAGGGAGGTTCATTGTCGTTCTACAGTTCACCCCAAATCTGATCGACATGGAGAGTTCTGGGTATAAGATCATGCTCACTCGTTGCGATGGCTTCCGATCTTGAAGACAGGAATCATATTGGTTCTACGAGTCCGAGCCAGTTATCTATATCACCTATTTCCTAAGCCAAATGACGGACTTCCTTGTACACGAAAACCCAGTCCGGCTGGGAGAGAAGCGGACACCACCACAGGATACATATATCCCGGTTCACCTTCCTCAGTTATTCGTGCTGTTCCTGTCCGAGAACCCGGTGGTCAATCCGCACTACGAAGAGGTGAGGAAGGAATCCGAAGAATGGCTGGCCAAGTCAGTACCTAGCCCAAGCTGCACGACCTACCCGCCTACTAAAATCGTCTGTTTACCCAGTGGATGCTCCTTCGATGAGAGATCACGGCGGATCCTGGACAGGACTGATTTCTCATACTTCTGTTCCGTCGCGGCGCCGGATGCTGGTCCGAAGGAATTGCGCACTGTGTGTGATTGGGGGAACTGGGTGTTTCCATTCGACGATAGTAGGTCTCCACCACTGTCTGAAGCGCTTGTGGTCAGTACTAAGCGTATGTGGCAGTGTTCGATAACGGAGGCCTGAAGGACGATCCTGCTCGGGCTCAGCAGCTCATCGACAGTTTACTTGCCGGGATGCGGGAGGGTGCTCAGCTGCCTTCTGAGGCAGACCGTCCCCTGGTTCGAGTTCACAACGCGGTATGGCAGCGTGTGGCTCAGGCTTCTCCCGTTGGTATGTATAACTGTAGAACATCCTCGTACATTACTCATGCGGCTACAGGAGTCAGACGCAGATTCGCCGCTTCAATGAGAGACTACTGCCAGGGCAGCATAGAACAGGTCCGCACTTGCTCCATAGGCAGATACCCATCTCTGGACGAGATGCTGGCATTGCGACGGCAGTCGGCGGGTGTTGCGCCTCTTTTCGCTTTAGTCGAGTATGTCTAATCCCCTCCCATTGGTACAGTTCACTCATACCATCAGATACGCACACAAGCTGGATATCCCAGACCATGTCTTCGAGTGCAGAAGTGTCAAGGAGATAGAACGTATTGGGGTTGATCTTGTTCTTCTGTAAGTCTTCCGTCTTCCGTCTTCCCGTTCTGATCGGCCGGATGCTAAGTGGACAGACAAAACGATATACTCTCCTACTGCAAGGAAGAGGTAAACTCCCTTATCCTCTATCACTGGCTCGCATAATGATGCTAATGTGCAATAGAAAGAAGGCGTAACGCACAACGTCGTCGCTGTATGCCGTCACTCCGGCATGCCGGCGCAAATGGCATTCAACCATATCGGCAATATGCTCGTCGCTCGGTACAGGGACTGGTATCTTGCATTGGCCGAGCTTCCAAGCTGGGGTGAGCATGTTGATGCTCAGGTGCAGCAGTATATTCGGGGCGTGCAGAATGTCGTGATGGCTAATTTGAATTGGAGGTATGTGTTAGGCTAGGTCGTTTGGTATCTTGCTGACGCTTTCGATTGTAGCTTTCGATCAGGACGATACTTTGGAGATGCAAAGGATATTGTGCGAAGGTCCATGGTTGTGACGGTCAAGCGGCAAGGTGCAGATGTTTGATGTTGACGTGATTGGTGTCGGTGTCTAGTGCTATATTCTGCTCTCTTTTGATATGAGGTTTACTCCACAGATCGTTGTATATACTCCCAAATAGTACATTAAAGCAAAGTATTAAGCATCGAGTACGTATAAAGTACAGATGAACTAACATGAGAATGAAACCAGTACTCCAGTCCTCCGCCCATCCCTGCCACCATAACCAGACCTATCCGGAAATTCCATCCATGACTCCTATAATGGTGTACCCCAGATTATCATTAAATGCCAATAGATTTTCCCCTGTCATCACAGCCTATTTTTCATCAGCATAAGATCATCGAACATCGTACATCGTTGGCACCAATGCAGACCCCCTCAGCATTGACGGTAGTCGTTACAGTCGTATGAGCTGGTAGAGAGATGTCTGCTACCGAAGACTACTGACCTGTTAGAGCCTTCGTCGCCAGAGATTAAAGCGACATACAGTATCACCGCACTAGACCTGAGCCATGCTAGGGCGAGCAGCACGAGGGGCACGACCGGTCCGGCTGCGCAGGTCGACGGTAGCGCTACGAGCCATCAAGATAGAGATGATCGTCGAAGCCATGTATCCAGCCCATGCGAACCACAGGAAGGCAACAGAGGCCTGAGCCTCACGGCATCGCTTCTGACGGTTGTGTGCGCCGTTGGTGATTTCGTTGTGGAGTGTGTAATCCTAGGCTCGTTAGTCGCTGCAAACCATGGGTACGAACGTCGCAACCTACGTCGTTGGAGCAGGAGTGGCATTCCAGCCGAGCAGCCAGTGCGATTGCACAGGTCAGGAAGAAGATGTTGTTCAAGACATCGAGCACTATCATGATGATGGGGTGAATGGCCCAGTTAAGGTTGATCGAGGCGGGGATGAGGTAGAACAGCGATATGATGGAGAATGTGGCAGTGAACATGCTGTAGTTGATCGTGGCGGGGTTGCCTGCGAATGCCATGGCAATGATGTTACCGATCAAGGCCATGACGAGCAGTGAGAAGACGAACTGCACAGCACTCGCTTGTTAGCTATTCGTCCGATTTCTCTGTCAAAAGACGTGGTGGCCGTAAATGGAAGTCTACACGTACCTCCCATACTCTCAGGCCGAGCTGGATTCCTCTGAGGGCCATTTTGACTAGTTTTTCAGCTGGTTGCTGCTCTTAACTCGTTCTCTTGGCGAGGTTGTAGTCGCAATTGAGTATAGTTGCCCTAGCTAGTATACTGGGTAAGTCACCACGACTCGAAGGAAGTAGGTTCGAACACGCAGTCTGACAGGTGCCACGACGGGGAAATTAAGATAACAAGACGCAGATCTGATGCGCTGCTTGATTCTAGGGATGAAGAATATTTTATTCTGTGCGGAATGTCCGGAGGCCGAGAATGACGATATGTTGCGGAAATGGAAAATATGCTACGTCATGCATGGGAGCGCGATCATGAAATCACATCACCAGTACATGGAAGTTGAGCCACTGTCTGATTCAATCAGATTGATCTTTTGGTCTTAGTCAATATGTAGACTTTTAGCATCGAGGCTGTCGAGGTGAAGACGAAGTGTGGTCAGAGTCAGTCAGAGAATGATCGTCAAGCATTAAGGAAGCTACGGCCAGCTGTTGGGCGGCAGTGCATATGCGCCTGGAGCTTGTACTGGATAGAACTACTGTACTCGTAGTATGCAATGACTGCTCTCTACAACATCAGAACTGGTAGTCTCTTCCGCCTGAATCCGATATGAAATGATGATTCCGTCACCATATGCTCTGCAACAATGTTGGAAGTCAATTCTCAGAGCTTACCCGTACAGTAGCCCTATCACGGTGAACCATGGGGCCAGTGGACTGGCTGGCCATCGGTTGAGCCACTCATGATTCCAAGTACAGTGGGCTCGGGCATCCTCATACCTTATGGGTCCAGTTCCTTAATCGATGTATGATCCACTGGTCGAGTCTCGAACCCGTTGTCAGCTCTTCCTGGTCGATGCATGCAGTAACCAGTGCAGATCCCGAATCCTGTTCTAGAAAGTCAAACTCTGCCCATGTTCTGTCCGAAGAGAATTCTTCTAGGATTGAAAGAGATGAGAATATTGCACAGATATCATCCGATTTGGACGAAAAGACAGAAGATATCAAGCAAAGATCCAAGACATCTATTGAGAATCACTTCACATAGGTTACAGAACGGGGGGAAAGAAAAAAGGGAAGGCAGTCTCTCATAGAGTGGAAGCTTCCGCAGCTACGGGATTCTCCTTCTAGACCAGCTGCGACTGCAGCTTCATAAACGCAGAGAAGAAGCGTTCCATGTCATCATAGTCATCCACTTCACCGAGCCAGCTGACGTACTGATCCGGTCGGACAATAACACTCGCTCCGCGTCTGGGATCGATACCGTAGTTCTCGTACGCCTTTCCATGACCCTCATGGTAGGATTGATCATCCACAAACACCTTCCAATAATCCCATCCTTGCTTCTCGCTATACGGATGGAATATTTCGGGCAGGTCTAAGAGTTCAATGCTTGTGCGGGGTCCGGCATGGACAGTCAGGACTTCGATGACGCTGTCGATCGGCTGCCCAGGTGGCGTATATCTGCGAAGGAATGAAGTCGGACTGCTGAGCCTTTCTCCCAGCTGGCTATAGCGGTCGAAATTCTCGGGGTTGGTAAGATCACCGGCAAAGACGATCACCCGCCAGCGGCCATTACTCTTCAGCAGTTCTTGGAGATGCCATGGCCGAGCATCGGATTGGTTGAGCACCTTGAAACTCGGCATTCTCATACCAACCGAGATTCCGGTTGACAGGTGCTGCTTGCTGACTACCCGGAGGCTTTTGTCTTTGCTTGCAACATCCGTGCCATCGCCTTGTTCGCCGGAGTCTCCCGCCTTTGCAACGAGGAGGCTAGAGCCGTAGTCGACAGCTGTTTCAATATGGTCAGACTGAGTAAGCTCAATTACTGGGAAGCGACTGCATTGTCTTACCAATGCCACTTGCAAACATGTTCCCTTTCTGGAACGCCATCTTGAATTCTTCCATGCTGATCCCCTCCTCGTCCATGACGTCCTTGGCTGGACGTCCGGAGAAGAGGCGAGAAAAGCGATAGTCGAAGTTAATTAGGTCTTGAGCGATGCGTCTCCTTTCGGATTGGTAAGTCTTCAGGATTGCGCTTTCGCTGTAGCCTTTGACCACATGGGCCAACTTCCAGCCCAAGTTATAGGCTGAGTGGTCACTAGTAAGTATCAAGCAATCACTACGGAGGATGGACATGAGACATACCGTCCTGCATGCTTACGTTCATACCCTGACCAGCTTTTGGTGAGTGGGTATGCACTGCATCGCCAGCCAGGAACACACGTTCCTCTAGCGAAAACTTGTCTCCAACCCGCTGACCGATCTGATACGCCGTCCACCAGTCGCAGTACGAGTAGTCCAGCTTGTATGGATGAAGAATGCGTTGTGCGGACTTGAGAATCATATCCGGTGTGATCTTCGAACGATCCGCTTTACCACCTCCAGTGACTGTTGACTGCAACTGAATGTATAGCCGAACGAGTTTGTTCTCGCGAGGAATGACCATCACAGTACCCGCGCTCGCAGAATGGATCGCGCAACGCATTCGAATATCTGGAAAATCGGTAATGGGAATGATATCGAGCACACCCCAGATGTAATCTGTCGAATCTCCTTCCAGCTTAAACCCTAGTTGGCGTCTGACCCACGAGTGGGCACCGTCACAGCCAACCATGAACTTAGCCTTGACAACTTGGGTCTGATTTGCACGGCTATCCAGCTCAGCTGCTCGTAGCATGTCGTCTGTGTCATCTGGGGAGAGGTTGCTTCGGAACAAGCCATCGCTAACAGCAGCGCCGTTCGTAGCCTGTTGCTGCTTCGGGGTGGCCTCTTCCTCTGTCAAGGTGCGCAAGGTGACAGTGATGGGGTAGCCATCAACATCGGTGGCTTTAGAAGCATCGAATTCAAAAGAAGTGGGCATCACGCCTCTTTCCACGGTAATATTGCTGTGCTCCTTGATGGAGTCAAGGAAGAACCGTTCAATGCGGCCTTGATGAAGCACGACTTGCTGGAAGCGACTGATGCCGGGGATAGTATCTGGAATACGATCAGATCGACGGATGACGCCGTCTTTGTCGGGGTTCCAGAGGCAGATTTCCAGCATGTGGTTCGATTCTCTCCAGGCCCTGTGAGCAAAGTCAAAGGAATCAAAGATCTCCAGTGTCCTGCATTGGAGTCCGTCTGCTTGGCCACTGAACACCTGCGCAAGACATCAGTAAGTCTTCCATGTGGGATCAAATGGACCAACCTTTGTGCTACGCTTGTCCACAATGCGAGTCTTGATTCCTAATCGGCTCATCCAGTTTGCCAACATGAGGCCAGCTGGCCCAGCCCCGACAATGAGCACATCAACATGATCCTCAGGTTGGTTCAAATTCGTCATCGTATCGATAGTAGAGTAGAGTAAGTTTGATGTTAATGAAGGAGAGTAGGTATGTGCTTGCAACTTGATCCTAGAAGCCACGTTCTGCGACGGACAACCATAGCTTCCATTTATGTTCCCAGCGCCATACGCCTCCTCTGACAGCTGAAGTCTTCCCTTGGTCCGGTGAAAGTACAAAAGTTCGAATCCGATGTCAATCCGACATAGATAGTCCTCGGCATTTGTTGGTGCTTCCGAACAAACGCCGCAATGCAAAGCCAGGGACCAACCCCGCAAACTGAGCGAGAGCCAGAATGTGGAGTTATAGATGACAGTTCGACTGACAGCTCCAATGACCTTGGCTCCCGGTCCAATCTAAGTTTCTTGATCATCCATCTAGGCCAGTTCCGACGATAAAATGTTCGGATGGCTACCAGTAGGATGGGTTGACTCTCTTCCCTTTCGGAAGCTAGTTCTGTTGAATAACTTTGATAAAGCCATCAAGTAGTGGTTGTGCTGTGAACAAGAGGTATCTGCGATTTGTGGAGCTTTCATCTCGGACCGGATTGTCAGAATAATGGCCTTCAAGCAAAGAGCTCAACTTCAGCTAACTCAGGGGTGTCCAAGAGGAACTGAGCGTAGTAGCTCGTCGGATAGTGTCATTTCAAGCATCAATCGCTACTGAAAGAACGCCGAACATCAGTGTTCCAGTGGTAATGAAAACATCCTATCTCTCGTTGAATATTTAGGTTCATCAATATGATTCACGAGATGACTTGTATGAAGTCTCAAGAAGCAGTAACCAGCTATTTGAATGCCATGTAGGTGCACCGAGAGATATTAGAAGGTCTATGTTGTCTTGACTCAGAGCGATGGAAGTGTCCTGCGGAAAAGGGGATTGGCAGTACTCTACAGCCCAATATATATATTCGACGCGGCGATCCAGGTCATACAACAAGATTGCTCGAATACTTGCCATTCCAAACCAAGAAAACAAAGCCCTCTTTATGTGTAAATTGGTAATCATTATTGTGATTCTCTGACTGTGTGAATTGCGACGGTAGCAGCAAAATTGGCATCAAGCATGGCTTTGATGTCTACTAGACGGACAACCTGCTTGAGATACATGTACCTTATTCAATTAACCAGTATATCCCACTAAGGAAGATATGCTTATGCTCTACTTTTGGTGAGGCCTACTGAGATACCCGTAGTGAGCTGAATAACATCAGCATCGTAAAGCTCTAAAAGGCTACCTGTGTTGGGTTCACTTAAAGAGCAATCAAAGGGGCTGGTTTAGATGGCAGAGCGACACTGCAGCGCTGGCTGGTCAATCTCCCAAAATTTGTGCCATCAGGGTAATAGTCCTGTTCAATACCTTTCCGTCCCCCTTTGACAATCTCAATCATGATAATAATCAAATAATGCGGAGTAGCTCGCCAAAGAACGTGGTGGGCATGAAATGTTCCTGAATAATATCAGCGGGGCAATAATTTCCCCCCCATCGGCCACACGGGCCCGCGCAAATAATTTCTCCAGCTCCTTCTTCGACCTAAAGTTGTCCACAACCCAGTTGAGGCATTTCTTTTGCTAGCTTATCCTAACGCAGAGAACATAATGGCAATTCAGTAAGGCGTTCTTGCCGAGAGGTTCGTTTACTGTTTATGACTCAAACTGACAGTCCCTTCTCAGTTACCTGATCCTGTTGTCGCGGCAGGGCAAAGTGGTATGCCTCGTGGCCCACCCAGTTCATTGACTTGATCCCAGAGCTCCTTGACTGATGGAAATTTGCTTCAATCCAGCGTCTTGCCAAATGGTTTACGACTCTCTCGCCTAAGGAGAAGGCCAAGATTATCAAAGATGTGACTCAGCTCGTCCTGTCCCGTCGCACCCGGATGTGCAATTTCCTTGAGTACAAAGGTACGCTCCTTTTCCCCACGGATTGCCATCGTACGCTGCAGCATCAATGAAATTGACTCTTGTCGTTTTCCTTCTTAGACACCAAGGTCGTCTACCGCCGTTATGCCTCCCTCTTCTTCATCGCCGGTTGCGCTTCCACCGATAACGAGCTGATTACCCTCGAAATCGTGCATCGATATGTGGAGCAAATGGACAAGTATTACGGCAACGTTTGCGAGCTCGACATTATCTTCAACTTCCAAAAGGCATATTTCATTCTCGATGAACTTCTGCTGGCGGGCGAGATGCAGGAGAGCAGCAAGAAGAATGTGCTCAGGTGCATAAGTCAACAGGATAGTCTGGAAGATATGGAGGTGAGTTGATTTTCCCTGATATCAATGATCCCTTGTCTTCACACCCACCACAATGTGTAGAGGTTGTGAGCGCAATGAGGCTCATATCCTTTACTCCTCCATCCGCTTGCCTGCATCCGATCACGTTTATGTGCGAAAGGCCGCCTCCAATCGCCCCTCCCATTGCACTTATTTTCATCACACATATTCAACATCTCCAAACCTATCGTTTTTCGTTGGGTCTTCCTAGCCTCATCCGATGTGAACACGTCACATGTCTGAGTTAGGCTAATGTCGCTCCTCCTCCAGGTTGAGGAAGATGTGGTTACGAAGATCATGTAGCAACTGTTTGACAAGCGAGCGTTTCCCTGTTCATACTGTTTTCTTTGGGTTTTCGCTATCCGGATTTTCGAGGGCAGTTCTACAGGCGTTGGGACGTACATAGGCGTTGTCTTCTACTATGCGACTTCAGGCACTAATTAATACTACATTGGCCAGTTCCAGGAATCAAAGGAAGTGATCGCCAATCTAGCCAACGAAGGGCTCATGTGAAGTTCATTCGTCATTTTCTGGGTCTGCAACAGTGTTTCCTTTGGACCCGTGAAGTAAGTGCGTGATATCACTGGCCGGTCGCAGTTGCCACGTGACTACCCTCCCCCCCTTCAGCCAACGCGCAACTGGATCACCCCGTATCGCTATTCATCAATCAGTCCCCTCTTAATCCCTGTTTCATCCTCAGATCCATTTGATTCTGCTGAGAGGGGTTGTCTCAGCAAACAAATCTCATTTGAGACATTCACACCGCGCTCTATCGGCCTATTTATTCGTGGCTTCAGCTGCCAGCGCAATCGTCCTTATCTCCGATCAGCGGTCAGTCCACCTCGACGACTATCTCGACATCATCCGCGCAGATACCGTCTATCGCGTCGAATCAACCTCTTTCTGTTGTCTTCTGCCGAACCAGAAGTTGCCGAATTGATATCTGGCTCTTGCCTCAATACTCCCAGCTGCCGTCGCTTCTTGTCTCCTCAGACAGCACTTCTTCGACAAAGATGAAGGTGCGCATTCCATATTGCGCCGAAACGCATCATTACCGCGCGGATTGTTCTGTTATGCTGACATATGGATCTTGATAGTATCTTCCTATTCCTGAGCTCGAAGACGTTGCGAATTCACTTAATTTCGATACGGACGATTGTCACATTGTGGGTGGATGCGACCTGTATACGACAAAGGCTGCTCGCGCCGACCGGAAACTGTACAAGAACATTGAACAATCACTGGAAGCCCAATATGAATCAGTCCTTCGCCTGTCTGCTTCGCTTTCACCTCCCAATGCATCCGATGCGGCTGCTTCACTCAATTTGTCACGTTCGAGTCCTTTTGGGCCCCTGAGCGATCACTCCAGTCGCCGGACTTTTGCCTATCTGATCGCAACACTCAATGCCAGCCATCCCGACTATGACTTTTCCCACGTTTTGCGTCCCTCGGATTTTCGTCGCGAGAGAAGCCTGAAGAGGGTTATGAACACGGTGGACTCAACTCTGTTTAACCTGAGACCTCGCGAGTCGATTGACATGTCTCCCCCGTCTCCTGCGACGATATCTGGATCATACAACAGCGCAGCATCTCATGTTTGGGGCCCGAGAATGTGGAGAACAATTGATGAACATATGTCATTGAAGGAGTGCTCATACTATTCGTACTCGCCCGACGAAGACCCATCGGATGCGGATGATGGTGCGATCTGGAGTTTGCACTACTTCTTCTTCAACCGCCTTCGGAAACGTGTCTGCTACCTCTACATTCGAGCGATCCCCATTCTCAGTCACACACCAGAAGAGGGTGATGGACTTCCCACCACGCCCACCGGCAAGCGAACGTTTGATGACATTGATGTATCCCGGTACATGACGCCTGATCTGGTGGGTTCAAGCAAGCGTGCTCGTTACTGGCTCGGAAATCGCGCGAGACTCGAGATCGAGAGTGAGGAGGAAGGTTCATCCCCGCCAACACGCCCTGTTGTTGATGAATACGACAATTACGTGCTCAGCGACGAGGAGTTCCGATCGAGATCAGGTAGTAAAGGAACAGTTCGCGCCATGAGCGAGGAGATTGCCGACCAAATGGAAGTCTAATTCCGACTTAGTGATTTGACGACCTCTTCTCTTCTTTGTCTATTTTCATGACTGTTTTTACTCCTTTCTTTTCTTGTTTATCTTTCTACGGCGTTGGCTTGATTTTACTCTGCATTCAACCTGCATGTTCTGCGGTGAGGGGCGTTTGGTGACCGGCAACGGCGGTACATGCCCCTTGTCGTAATGAGTGGTTTCAAGACTTGTTCTTCAGATTGATTCAACCTTGATAATGATTTTGATGCACTGCATAGCTTGAAACCTGGTCTGGCACACATGGGTTCATTCTAATCACTGCAGCAGTGCTCTTTTCACGCTTACGTTGGGCTATGCTCTGTAATCTTATTACAATGAAATCTCTTCAGCCCTGAATCTTTACGTAGATCCTTGGGTTCACGAAAGTGACGATAATTTGGTAGTCATTATGACATGATTCTGATATTGAACATGGTATAAGAAGCAGTTCATCCACCTCTTGAAATCTACGGCAGTCTTTGCTCAATATCAATGGAGATCCAATATACATAATGATAGGAAATGCATCCGCTATCATCCCTCTGTCTATCGCCATCATCGTACCTAGGAGTTCTTAAGTTCTTATGCATTTTGTCGTGAGATAGGACCAAAGAACCAC